TCAGTGGCTTGCTCTGACGATGTGGTCTCTGACTGATTGTTTCCTTCGATTGTGTCATTATCGGTATAGACTCTCCTGTTGGCTGTTCCTCTGCTTGACCTCTGACCTTCCTGTCGTTTATCATTTTTCTTATTGGTTGATAGATTGGGTCTACGTTTTTACATCTGTTGATTGCTGACTGACTGAGTGAGCTGAATGCCAAGCTTCTAGGAATTCTCTGATATTCTTTGTGTTTCCTCTGTCCAAAGTTTCCACACTGTCGAAATTGAATTCATGTCCATAATTATCCACGTGCATTTGATTTGCAAAATCAGCTGCGATAACTGTAGTCAACACTACATTTGACAAAGTGGCCACCCCCTTCGCCTTCGTCTACAATAGGCGATTAGACGACACGACATTTCGTCACTCATTTCAATGCACGTGGATAATTATGGACATGAATTCAATTTCGACAATGTAGAAATTTTTGGATAACCAATCATAGACCACATCGTCGGGGCAAGCCGCCAAATGATCCACGGAGAGATATCGACAGCTCACTGCATACTGAAGTTATTGCTGATGATGTCGTCCAGAAAGACGATGAAAGATTCACAATTAAACAACCCAGCTCAGAGAACACAGTGCAACCAAATGCTTAGTTTTCCTCACAGGATATAATTTTTCAAATATCATTTATATACGATTGTACAGCTTGAAAATAAAATCGTTGAAAAGAGTCTCTTCGCTGAATAGTTTGTTATTAATGTTACAATGGGAATTATTAAATTATTTGATCTCAAACACGCTATGACTTAAAAAAACCACACTATATTTAATGTCAACCTTTTACTTAGCGTCCAATATTTGCCATACTATTCGGCCAAATGTTTATCTTAGTTCATGTAAAACCAAAGGAAGTTTGAGGATCTGAAGTAAACGCTATAGCTTCATAGAGTGCATTCCTCGTACCCATGTAATCATTATCAATGCGTACTGTATCTAACTGAAATGCAAAACATCTTCAGAACAACTTTTACGTAAAAGTGTTTCACATTATAGGTTAAGAGACAACAAGTATGTAGAACTTGGACACATTATATTGGATTGGTACATTTGATATACCATACAGCGACAGTATTATTTACAAGATTACGTTAGGAACAAAATGTTTTGACTTGGATGCAGTTATAAGCAGGAAATTGTGCTCGAAACTTCGGTATTAGATAACATTGTATAACTCCATGCTGTGTCAAATAGACCAATTTAATATGAAATAAAAGCTGTGTTTTCCAAGGTATATAGAGCTACTGAAATCATATTTCGGAAGTACTATTACAATATTATAGTCAGTTAATTATTTCAAATGGGGCAAGCAACGTATTGACTCGGAATATCTTCGAATCATGAGAAATACTTGTAGTTACGGACGAGGATAACAGGAGTTCAGTGTTTTCTAAGCCTTGATATCAATGTTCAAAGAATACTGAACGACCTTTCTTTCTTTTCATGTATAAATAGACTAATGAAGCAATAGGAAACGATTTATCACGCACTGAATACAGTTTTCTCTTAATAGCTTATTTGTGTTCATAAACAGAATTCCGAGTATTTACATTCGATACAAATATACTGCATGATCAGTTCTGGTCATTAAAGTACATCGTAATTCGATGCATCTTGATGACAAATTTCCCCATGATTTTTGAATAAGAGGTATGGGAATTATGCTTCAACGAAAATCTGAATGATATCAGTGATTCAGAAATTTGTTTACCATGTTCTAGTTACTTAAGTCTAAGCTTTGATTGTAATTTTAGTGCAAATAGAAAACTGAACCGTCTTAACGATTACATTACACACTTATGCACTAGGTAATGAGACATACTTATTGTATGAGAGCTAATGATGCTAAATGGCTGCATATACCTCGGTAGTTGGAGCGGGTTGAGTACCTAAACCAATAAGCTACATCTCAAAGAGGTTGTATTGTTTTTGGAAAGGATGACTTTAAAGACCATCCTAGCAACTGGTGAGACAGCCAATCACGTTTCTTTATTTTATGGTAAAGTACTTTCTCAGGCAAAATACTAAAGCCTGATTAGTCATTTCAGCTGTTGTTAGTGTGACCGTTAAAGTTAATCTTTGGAAAGGAATTATGAATTAAGTTATCCTCACTTGGAATTCAATTCTCTGGAATGACGCAAGGACTGCAGTAGGTTTATCCCACGCAGTCCACCAAACAGTTCGCACGATCTCAGTCCGCATGTACACTAATACAGTTACAGCAGCATACACTCAGTCACACATAAGTGGTAACCAATAGGACTATATTACTCAGTCACATAACTACAATAGCCAATGAGCACATTGCTAGACAACTTAGCCAGCATAACATATCTGTATAGACAGTATGAACTCATCACAGGGTGTTTAAACAGTTTCACTGGTAAAATATTTCCTCGATTGTAACTCACTGAGGGAATGAGATAGATATCCAGATTGATAAACGGTATAAAGTAGTGATATCATTTTATTACCAGCAGTATTCACAACTACACGTTTTGACATGATAGAATCAGAGATAAGTAAACAATATTAAATCTACACACCTGCCATATTCAGTAGACTCGTTTCTGCATAAGCACTTTTAGATAGACCAGGTTGGAAGAATGCATGATTCAAGCAGACTTGGAGGTCAAGTCAAATCATAAGGAATCGACTGTTGGTCTCAGGTATGAACGGTGGTATAGGCTAGTCGGCTAAAGTCAGTAAGAAATAAAGGGTTCGTAAGCTTAGGTAGAATGTCCTTTGTTATTGTATCCATCTGTATAATTATCATCTATGAGATGCACAACACGCTAGCCACTTTATAATGAAAATACTCGTAAAATATAAATTACAAGAACATGACTGTCTTGAACTAGAATAAAGAAACAGAAGTTTGTTTATCACAAGACATTAATTTTCCAATGGTAGAAGGCAAAGTACATTTGCGGGGTCGGTAGTGGTCAGGCTGTTCTCACATTTCAGCCGAGCAATCGGTAATGGTGTTACTGTATGTCTGAGTGGTTGCATGAAAGTGCTACAAAAGACCAAGCTAGATGTATTAAAAGTTAGAAAGGCACTTGTGAATCTCAGACTCTTTTCATGTGGGTGCGATGTTGGTTAACAACTCAACCAACAGGTTCACAACACTTCAAATTAGCAATTCTGTCTAACACTACAAAACTGACCATTCTAACTTAAGTTTGGAAGCTCCTTGTTTCTGACCACACAAATGTAAGGCAATAAGAAACTCGTGAGTTACTTCATTGAATGAAACTTGTTAGTATTAACACTGTTAGTGCTATTTGTATTATATGAAGTGCACCTTCTTAGCACCAAAATAATGCTTTGTTTAAAATGAATAGACATTTAACCTGAAGGTCGCAGGTTCGATTCCTGGTGGGGTCGTGGGTGCGCACTGCTGAGGAGTCCCATACTAGGACGAAACAGCTGTCCAGTGCTCCCAGGTTTCCTTTGCTCCTCCAACTGATGTCAGTTTACGATGAATAACAACTTGAAATATTTCCAAATCTCCACAACTCCCTCAAACATTTAAAATATCTCTGTAATAGCTAAGAAATCTTTTACGGTGACAAAAGGGGACTATAGTTCTGTAAGTTTGTTTTAATGTGTAGGCATTCGTCATCTTTGCATCCTCTTTGTGCTAATCGGCAACAACGAGCTCAGAGCTCCTAGCTTAGCCCTTAATAGACACATAGGTTTAACATTCTTCCCTTAAAATAGCATATAACTGATAAAAAAAAATGCTTTTCTGCGAACCTTTTTACTATATAACATGTTTTCTTACTCATCCTTTGTTATCACTGCTTATACGAAGGTAAGGCATCAATTGGTTTGATACCGGCACACATCAATTTACGTAAGACTGATCAAGTGTTAGGTAGTAGTAACACAACAAGATTCTTACATATGCATCCAGCTTAGTTGCAATCACCCAGCTTTACACTGTTATCAAGACTATTATTTGATTGCTATGTGTTCTGATGAAGACTTCATCAGTCAGTGGCAGACTACTGACTGACTGTTCTGCCGAGAATAAAGTAATCTACTCAATCTTAACATACGCGCCAGCCTTTTCTACATTTTCACTTCGACTGTCAACATTGTTCGATTCTATTGTTATACTTGAGTGAATATTTAAATGTTTCGCATGAATGTATTCGAGTATTTCACCAAAACGTCATATAATCAAGATGATAGCGTATTCAGTTGAAGAGTTCGATTTGAAACTTTTCACCAAATCCTGCTTGATTAACTTTCGTTACTTGACCTAAGATTTATATTGAGAAGGAAATGTGTTCAGCACTTTTATAACTTGGAGTTAGTTCCTTGACTAATACACTGTTAAAGTGAGAACTATCCTTAAAAACAAGAATTAGTCACTGGTAGATTATTGATGTAGCTGTCCAGTCATTAGTGCTCAACAATTACCGAAGTCTATCGAACATCTAATATCAACTACTTTTATATTTACACTCTTAAATGAGAATAACGAAATGTAGTTACATGTTTTGTTTTCGAGTACCCCTCAGTAACGTATATCTGTAACACAGAAAAAATCACGTTGAAGTCAGAGCTATACAAGTAATCACTTACCCCGATAGGACTGAAATGCATACACGAATCGGTCGCATGATGCTAACCAATGTCCCACATTCACGTATTGAAATGTTGATATGCAGCAGATAATCATTGTCGCGATGACCTGCTCATGATAATTGTACATTGTGGTGCGTGTTTGTTGAGACTGATAGAAGACATTTTTCTTTCACAGCAGGTTGAATCAACTAACTAGTTAATCAATAAAAAGACTAGAGTTTCTTCTTATTGATATGCTATCGCTTTTACCATCAAAATTTTTATCAACACTTAAACTTTATTTTCTTGATTTGAGATGTAGATTACCTGGTTGCGGTCGCCAAAGCAATAGGAAACAGTGTTTGAAAATTCTTGAGGACATGACTGGTTGCTGACGAAATCCCACATCGGATACAGAAGGCCCATTTGGCATTGCCAACTTCCGTCATCTGTAGCGTTGACCGAATATCCAGCTGTCTATCAAAGGACGAGTATACTACGCTGCACTTCATTCTGTTGTATGGATGTGAGACATGACCGTTAAAAGTAGACGACATGAAGTGATCACAAGGTTTCGATCAGAGATTTCTTCGTAACATTGCTCACGTTTCGTGAAATCACAATATGAGCAATATGTAGGTCAGGCGAAGGACACTAGAGGAGACAGGCAAGTTGGTTGATAAGGTTTTGAACCTTTGTCAACTGAGATGGCTTGGACATGTTGTGTGCATGCCAAGCCACCACCTACCTCAATGTGCCGTGCGTTAGGGAAAGTTAGATTAGCTTCGAATAAGGTTCATGGTGGCCAGACCAAGGCGTAGCACAAGTCGACGAAGTTGCTGATTCTTGATCTGAGCCGTCTAGGGAGATGTAGACTGTCTGTTGGGGTCACCGAGACGAAGGGAATCAGTCATTGAGGTCTGACTCTTGGTGATATGGCTGAAAATCGGTCGCAATGACGCAGATGAATTCACTTCTTAACGTCTTCTAAAGCTTGAATATTTGCACTTACCTTTATCTTCAGACTTCATTCTCTCACAATCCTTTACTTACTTTGATATACTACAGTGAAGTGTGGTAACTTGAACCGATCCACCTATATGCAAGTTTCTTTATCGAGTTTGTCTTTATTTTTCAGATCCAAACTGGTCTGTTTAGAGATATTCGTCAGTTGGCATGGTAATCATTAGCACAGCCGAAAACCACTGATAAGCTTCCATAATAATGATGTATATATTTTATGCGTATCGTCACTTGAACAGACATTGGATGAAGACAGATAGAGTAAAGAAATGTGAACAAAAAAGTTGACATAAATTATCTTCATAAATATTGATAGCCTACAAGGTGGAAAGCAGTTATAACCAGAGGCACTATATACGTGTATGCCTACAACAAATGAAAATCGATGGAAGAAAATTAAAACTAGTACAAAATACCACGACAATGGAGATCGTTTACTATTATGAAATGGAAATAAAAGTAAGTGAAAAATGCGAAAAACAATCACGTTTGTACACACTTAACTTTCTTTTGTAATGATGGAAAAAATACAGAGAAGAATTAATATAGCTAGATATAACTGAAAAGAAACCTAGTAAACATAAGCAACATACACCAGTCGCATAAGAAGAAAACAGGAATTATATATAGAGTCAACACGTTGATTAGTTGAAAAGTAATGTGGAATTTATTACTACTAGTATGACTGATAAATATTACTAAGTGTAACTGAGAGATACACATTTTTGAAGTTGAAAAAAAACGGCAATGTGTGCATATTTCATGATATATAAATTAACTAAATAACTACACATATATCAAAACTCACACGAAGATACAAAAACAAAACAAACAAACAAAATGACCGGAAATAAATGTGACAACTAGAATAAAAATGACCATTGGGAAATAAAACTAGAAAATATCGAACTACAACAGTCAGCATACTGAAGACGTTTGTAAGTAGTATATATATATATATTGAAAAGAAACATTTTGTTTAGAAAAATAACTAAACAAACATAAATGGAATGTATAAATTATGAAATGAAACTTAAAATGAAGGAAAAGAAAAAAAAAGTAACTGGATAAGATCAAATGAAAGTGGCATTATCCAGAGAACAACAACACTGTATATGAGTGATTTTCAGTAGTAGGGTGTCAGTCGAGAGAGATAGGCACAGGAAATTATGATTACACTATTCAATTTAACATGCAAACAGATAGTCATAAATCTTTTACAATAAGCGTACGCAACTTCTGTGTTAATATGCACCAACTTATGTTCACAGTGCTGATTGAGTTAGTGGAGTGTGTATATGGGTGGGGGTACGCTGGCATAAGTGAGTGAATTATGACATATGGGTAAGTAGTTATGTAAGATTATATGTATTGACTGGATGTTTCATTAAATAAATGGATATATTCATTGTGGAGAAAAGGAAAAAAAGCAGTGATGTTTGTATTTAAACAGCTTTGTACAGTCTGATGCCTTGAAAATTGAACAGAAGAAAGATAAATGCATTGGATTTAACCTTTATGTTAAATATACACAGAAATTAATGATGATAGCAATATTATGAATAGAAAGCGATTCAATACATCATCTGACTGCCTGAGTTAACCGTAGTTTGGCAGACTAGTATTTATACTGGGTGGTGATTGAAGGTGAAATGAAAATCTGGACAGTGGCCAGATTCGAACCAGTGACTATCGTGTTTCCGGGCCGATGCTTTACTAACTGAGCTATGAGGTCCGACTGTTGACCAGATTTTTATTTCAATTCAATCACCAATATATATTAATTTATTGTAACAAATTCGTTATTTTGTACTAGTCCAGTATGTAACAGCACATTCGACGACTGTATGAACTCAGTATTTAGTACCTGAATACACAAAATGCTTGCTTACTTATATTGTTCAAAATTATTAGTTTGTTACAGAAATGATACGATGACAAGTATCTCTAAGAGTATGCTCTGATTGAAAAGATGCTTGGATATTGTTGTTGATAGGTTGCAGATAGTACACAGCAAGCATCGTGAACTTTATTGTCAAAATATAATCTACTTGTGAATGAGGGATTTTTACTCACAGACATACACAACTTAGTGAGAATCGAATGATAAGGTCGTATACAACATTTTTCCATCGTTTTCATCAATTGTACTACTTTGCATCGGTGGACGTTTATGTAAGAGGTATAGTGTCTACTGTTCAGATTAATTAGAAAGCTAGAAATCGCTGAACTTTTCAAGACCAATCCAATTTATTTGCAATTTTCCAGAGAGTTACTTTCCACCGTCTGTTGTCTCACCTCCTCTTTTCTTTTCAAAGTGTCAATCAACCAGTGAAACTAAAATCTAAAGGTTATTGTTCAAGAGTTCGCAAAAGTACTAGTGAACTTATGATACCAGTTTTTAACACTAATTAAATCACCAAATCGACTGTAGTTGCAGCCTATGATGTTATGATTGCAAATTAACTGCTTAACATCGAATGAGCGATGTTTTGATAGGTGGACAACTGACTTATCGTGATTGGAGGAGAAAAATGATATCACTGTGTTGTCAGTAACACATGTTATGTTACTTTATGCTATCGTTTTATGTTTCTTTGAGTTATCTTTCGACAATTCGATTCATATAGATTATGTGAAGCTGATGCACGTAAAAATCTAACAAAAAAGCTCCATTTAACTGAAAGTATTTAATTCTCAAGAGAACTCCAACCCAGGTTACATGCCTATTAGCACTTCACCAACAAAATGTACTTGTAATGTTGAAGAAATTCTTGTTCCCTCACTTAACACGAAAGTTAGGTGTTCAAGATTGATTGAAAATTACTCTTAGGATCTAATATCCAAATTTAATACAACATAGTGTTATGTCACATGATAGCTAGCAACATACTTGGTAGCGTTTGACAAATGGATCGAACATTTAGGAATTGACATGTATACATCGGCTGCCAGCAGATGGTCGATATGTACACATGAATTACACTACAAAAACTTTTGTTTTGAACAAAGAATAGACTTACAGTCCATAATTTCATTCTTTGCCAACTGAACCTCTTTACGCAATTCAATGACTATCTCGCGGCGTAAAATCTCCAATTCTGTTCGCGTAAACGATAAACACGTATTCATGACACTTGGTGATGCCAGTGTAGAACAATTAGAATTATCAATTTTTCGATTGAATTTACTAAAAAGTGAATGAATAGACAGTTATCTTATTCTATTTTAGTCTGCTTATTAAAAATGTCACATAGTGAAACAGTATCATTTACTGGATAACGTTTCGGACAGAATTTATTGTCCATATTCATATCAGGATCTGATTTGAATGTGGACAATAAATTCTGTCCGAAACGTTATCCAGTAAATGACACTGTTTCACTGTGTGACGTTTTTAATAAACAGACTAAAATGGAATTAAAATCTACCACAGCTCCAGTTTTACTCCCACAGTAATCTCAATAATTTCATAAACCATTCAAATACAAATGAAGAGAGTTGTTTGCAACAGTGTCTGCTCTGTGGTGAGAATGACTAAATAACATGAAGTCAATAGCGTTAATAGAGAAGAGAAGTTCAGCGAAGATATCTTTTCCGGAGATCTCATTCTCCATAGCTGTACAATCGCGATTTTAACACTTTTTTTTTGATTATATTGGATACTTATAACAACCATTTAATTAAACGTAGCAACAAAGATCAAGTTGAATGAAGATTATAAATTCACAATTGTGATGCAAAGTGGACATTCATCATAAGATCCAAACAGAGATAAATATTTCAGTCCCAAAGAAGATACCACAAATGAATCTTGACTTCAAAGGTGATATCACTGTTTATATCTTTAAAAGGAGTAATTCAAACTCGCTGAAGAAAACTGTTTTCATGTCAACCTTGACGATTACTTTCTTCAGTCGTCCGGTATTTCTTGATAACCCTAAAGATAATCTTCTATATTTGACCACTTCCATATGAGTTTTTATCAATCCAATTGCTCCTATGTAACCAGGTTTGTAGTTCGTTCAATGCGTATTCCTTCCAAAAGGGGTTGAAAAAACAACATTATTCCGCCTGGATGCATAGAGTAAAAGAGTGGATCCATCAGAGGTGCAATATTTGAGCATTTTGTCAACAGTGGTCCCAGAATCACAAGTCATTCAGCGTTCAAAGTCATTCACAAGAAGAAAGGGGATTTGCCAAAAATAGTGCGATTTTGTCTTCATTGTACTGCAGAAGATCTCGCCATACGCTTGGAGAAACTGAAATTACGTGTGCAAAAGTAACTTGTCCAACCTTTGTTGCTACTTCGAATTTAATAAATTGCTAACAATACAGCGACCTCTATCTCTCTTTCGTTATTCACAATTTTGCTGTATTTTATGAAGTATTTAGATAACCCGATGACATCTTTATCTTGTTTCCATGCTAAACTTGATCAAACCATGTCTTAAAAAGTATTTTTATATATTATACAACTTTATAGTCTGTCCCGTTATTTATGTTACTTTCTATGTTCCTTTGTGATTAATTTTCACCTTGCACCACATTTGTATATTCTTAATCTCGATTCAACTTAATTTTCGTGTTACTGGGTTTAATTAAATAATTCTTGTGGCCATCAAATGTAGTTAAACAAAAATGTATAAATTGCGGTTGTACAGCTGTGGAGAATGAAAAAGATATGTCCGCAGGAACTTCTTGTTTCCTCTAATGTCCTATTGGCTATTTTCAGTAATTTGAAGGGTATTAACGTTACTTATACTGGGTGATGATGCGGCTTAATATTTTGCCTGGGGTCGACAGGGGCGCGATTCCGCGCCAGTTCCTCAAAAGGTATAGATCGCCCTTCTTCGGGAGTTTGACAAGGTAGACCTTCCCTTCCTTCCTTCCAGACCTTCTGCAATAGTAGTGTGAGCATGTCCGCTGTTGTCTCTGCGTCTGCTCTCAGTGCTTCTGGTAGGATTCTATCTGGTCCTGCTGCTTTCCGGCATTTCAGTAGCCACAGGGAGCTCAGAACTTTGACTTTTGTTTGGGGGATTTGTGTTCACTTGCAGTTCTGTGGCTGCAGGTGGTATATCTGGACGAAGTGCAGGTGGAAGTCCATTTTAAGAGCTTTTTGAAGTGATCAGCCCATGTGCGAACCAAATTGCAACGCTACACTACGCATCATCATAGAACAGAGTATAGAATGCCAGTCAACTCTCTACCTCAACTTCATCGACTTTGAGAAGGCCTCTGATGCGTTACTACCGCTTGATCGTACTCATTCCAAATGTAACTGGATTTGAGAGGTGGAACTAGAGGCCAGAAACACGGTGGTCGCTAGGAATGACAAGTACCTTTCCGAACAACCAGATGATGAAACATCAGTAGAGATTTTCATCACACGGGTAGTGTCTGATTTTCATCGGATTACATTACAGTCGTGCTACACCTTAGATCTCAGACTCCTGTCACAAAGTTGATTGCTTCACTGAAGAACAGACATAGGGGGAGTCTACTGTGGTACGTGATTTAAGTGCTAAGCTACTCATAACTTTCGAGTTTTTTAATAATCTCGATAGCGTTAATTCATATATGACAAAATATGCATTGACGTTAGGTGACAACTGGTTAACAATCGAATAAATGGTATCAGTTTCGTACTAGTAATGACATTTGTCGTGATAATAAAAATGTCTTTCTTGATCCAAGTACCCCCCAGAGAATGGACCAGCAAATCTTCTCCAACACCTTGTATTTGAATAGAAAATCTACAAAACAGTGGTAGAAACATCTTACCTGTTCAATGGTGAATCAGCAGAATTAATTTGATTGCGACTAGATCCTACATATGATGTAGAGTAGCCAACCCACTGTCACTAACATCAACGGTATTCTCAGAAGATATTGAGGCAGACGGCTACAGAATGAAGTCGAAATAATTGATGAAAAAGCTTGTAAACATATTTAATTATAATATTTCAGAAATCTGGTATGAACTACTATAAAATAACAATTCTAAAAGTTGATCAATAAAATTAGTCAGCTAACATAGTATGCGGTGCAGTCCGTTCTGTAATGTTGTGAGACATGGATATTAATGGTAGATGAAACGAAGCGATTACATGGTTTCGGTCACACATGTCTTCGTAACACTGATGGCATTTTCAGAGGAATCATTGTGTGAATAATGTTGAGATCAGGAGAAGAGTACTAGGCAAGACAAGCAAGTCAATCGATAAGGCTGTGAACCTTAGTCAACTAAGACAGGTTGAACATGAACTGTGCAGGCCGAGTTAAGGCTTACCTCAACGAAGTTGGAAAAGAGTTCAGGGTGGCCAAATCATGACCTGACACCAGTCTATGAAGTCGCTGATTGTTGGTCTGAGCCGTGTGTGAAGATGTAGACTGTCTGGTTGGAGTCTCCGAGACGAAAGAAATCAGTGGTTGAGGACTGACTCTTGGTGATATGGTTGAAAATTTGTCACAATGACGCAGATCCATATACTCTTAGACATCTTCTAAAGCTTGAATATTTGCACTAACCCTCGTCTTCAGATTGTTTATTCTATGACACCCCCTAATCTTCTTTTTTCGTCACTATTTTTCTACTCACTTGCTTTTTGTGTAGTACTGTTAAGTGTGGCAACTTGAGCCAATGCACTTGTGTGAGAGGTCCTACGTTGATTTTGTTAGAGTGTAAGGTTGTTGTGAAGATTTCGGAAAAGTGAAACCCGAGACTAAATACATTTTTTTATGATAGTAATATATTTACGGTTATAGCGCAATCAGTTACAGTTATTTGACGGTAAGAATATTTAACTCCGTTTATAAGTCTGCTTCCGACTGCTTACTCATTATCGTATCTTTCATGGAAAACTATTGAATAATCTGAACCAAGCAACTCCATTTTCTTAATGAAAAATGACTCATTTAGTATTCGTACGCTGATCCAAAATAGAAGTGCAACTGAGAAACCACGTACCTGTTCATACAGTAAGAGACGAGCCACAACCTTTTGCTTGAAGGTTACTGATACTATCTAGCTGCCAAATCTCCATGGATGGAATGGAGTTCGGACTCATGACCTAAAGGTTATTTTTACGTACATTATGAATTAGTAATTCATATATATGGTAGTGTCAATTAAACTGTTGATGCTAACGAGGATGACAATCAACTATCTTCCCTTATGTCGATCAAAGAAGTTAGGATGTGAAGCCACTTGTATGAACTTCAGATAGGAAAAAGCTAAAACTGTATACGCAACTAGTCAGTCATGTGTAATAGACAAGACTATGTTCATGCTAAATCACATGATAGAAACATAAAACAAACATTTGATCCGAAGGCCAATTTTCTTTTTAAAAAAAATTTGGCAATGATCCAAATAACATGTAGAAATTTTAAGTTTTATTTATTCGTTAATAGTATTACAGTCTACCAGCTGGTAAACAGCGATTCCAAAAAACACACTTCAATTTTTCACTGTTATAAAAGAAGGCTAAGCGAATCGAAAAAAATTAGTGGCTGAAAATCCGTACGATTCGGATGATAAAAAAAATCAATAAACACTCATTGCAGAAGACGATAACTACCCGTTGAAATGAGCATATTAGGAAGTAGGTATATGCAAGAAATTGAAGTTCTGGACTTTAAAACGAACAAGCGTTTGAATTGATTGGTTTTGGGTTCAAGTCCTAGTGGGAACAACATCGCCCACTGGGAGGCAGGTAGGTCCAGCTAACGAGTCTCGAATAGGACGAAATGCACATACTGGATTCCACTGCTAGCCACTACCCATCATTATTGTAAGACATATATAGTCCTAAAAGAATTGTACATATCACCTGAGCAGATCTTGTCCATACTTATTCAATTTTATCACAGATATTCTCAGGGAGGTCTACCTCTCGTCGCCTGATTACACAGACGTTGACCTAGTCACAGGAGAATTTCACTAGGCCTAGAATGTGCAGATGACATAGTCCCGTTAGATGAAGACGCTGACTACACGCAGAGCCTTCTGAAAACTTTGAGTGGCAATTTGAAAATTGAGATGTGGTTCTCACCACCCAAATGCAAATTGTTGCTAAAGGATTAGTCTTCAACGGTGCCACGTATAACAATAGAGAGTGTAGTGATTGAGTGTGTCGACCACTTCACTTACCTGGGAGGTAGGATCAGCCCTGATGGCTCAGTGGCCAGTGAAATCTCTGCACGGATACAAAAGGCTCGGCTAGCTTCTGCCACCTACGGCACCGCCGTGACATCTCATTGTCTACTAAGGGTCGCGTGTACTGCACAGCAGTCTCCTCTGTTCTACTGTATGGCTGTGAAACATGGAAGACATAAGAAGGCTTGAAGTGTTTGATCACTATTGCCTTCGTAGTATAGGCCGCCGTATTCCGTGGTGTCACCACGTGCGTAATGCAGGAGTCAGGTGTAGAGTTTTAGGGAGAAGAGGTAAGTCAGTCGACGAGGTTGTGAACCTTCATCGACTGAGATGGCTGGAACACGTGTTACGTATGCCTAGCCTGGACCGAAGTAGGTCCAGGCTTGAAAAAGGCTCCAGGCTGCCAGACTAAAACATGGCATCAATGTGTGAAGTCTCTGACTCTGGGTCCGAACCATATGGGGCGATGTAGACTGACCGGTTGGGGTCCATGGGACAAGAGGAACCAGAGCTTGGAGACTGACTCTTGGTGATATGGCTCAGAACCGATGTCAGTGGCGCCGATGTATACATACATTATCCTCATCTCAACGACGCTATACTGAATCTAAACCACTTCCTCATTCTTCGTTTCTCTCTTTTCGTACTTTATATTTCTTTTGACTGAATTTCCTTGTCTTCATCTTGCACTTCACCGCCTTTTTACTTGATGTACTGATATGAGCTGTGGTAACTCGGACCGTTACGTAGTAATGCCTGGTCCTATGTTGATATTGATGATGATGAGCAGATCCTGTGCATGCAGTTTCATATAAACACACCCAACAAAATATTTCCGTTTGAGAGTGATTAATGATAATCAGAAATTGTAGGTGGTTGGAAGCAGACCAAGAGTGATTATACCCGGATGTAGCACCAGTTCACGCAGCCTCTGATTGTTGGTGTGGGCCATGTAGGTTGTCTAATTGGAGTCCTAAACACGAGGAAAAACAAAACTTGGAAACACATGGACGAGCAATTAACTTTACAGACAGTTTAGCATTTTAGTGTCTGTAGGTGTATGTACGTTTGCAAGGTGACGGTATTGATATTCAGTCTCCATTTTTTATTTTGTCGTAGACGTGCTTATGGATATCATGCGATGACTTAAGCACGCGTCTGTGTCCAAATAGATGTAGGCAAACTACTGGAAAAAGCCATTACGAGCGTAGCCTAACAGTGGGGATACTGCAGTTGCTTCGGCGACGAAGTGACCAAAGAGTTGTCAGAACAGAACAACACCCCTCACTAAGCAGAAGCTTGGTGTGATCTCCAGTTTACTGTAAAAGCAGCGTTGAAGACCGTAGCTGACTGTCAAAAAGTAGTTAGAAAGAGCCAGTGATATCAGCAGCTTTTTCTCATACAGTAGATGTAGACCCCGAGCACAACAAAGAACGGAATCAACTAAAATGTAGGTTTACACGAAGTTTACATAATGAGGGGAAACAGTGGTGGGCAGCGAAAGCTGAAGGAATGGAAAAGGCAGTGGAGATAGGCAAAAGTAGACAGTTATTAAGACTTAGCGATAAAACTGGGGCAAAAAAACCAATATTTAGTGGAAATATAGTAGAGAACAGTGGGTTTGTGATTCACTAAGAAGGAAAACGACTGAAATGATGGGTGGAACACTTCCGGGAGCAGTTAAGCTGGCCTCCAGCTTCTATACCGTTTTCTACCGCCATGTAGAGTTCTCAATAGAAGACTTAAGTGGGTCATCCGATTCTTGCAGGCTTTGAGAAGGCTATAGACGAACTGAAACGAGGATGAGCAGCAGGATTAGATGAGCTAGTAACATCAGACAGTGTTCAACGATCATTGATAGAATAGAATGAAGTGTCAGATAGCGTATGAGAGCCAGATACCCGTCCGATTAGTCTCAATCTCTGATTGTTTTGGTCTTCAGTAAAGGCGAGAAATCCTCTTGTGAAAACCACAAGGGAATCAGTAAAACGAACATTGTGTCTAAGATTTTATAATTATCGGACGTCTACGTGGAGTTCGGAACTAACAAACACGAGAATACCAAACAGGTTTCAGGCCTTGTCGTGGTTATATAACCAAATATTCACACTCTCTCACTTTCTGGAACACACCAACTAGCTATATTTTTGACCTGAAAGTGGCATTGGAATCTGTCAGTCGACAGGTTTTATGACAGTGTCTCCCGATGAAACGGGGGCCGGATAAACCCACCACCCTGTTAAAGAATCGATACTCGGAAACCCATGAGCGTGTCAGAGCCTATATGGTGATTTATCATGTGAGTTGTGTACGTTGAGTGCTGTTCGTCAATAGTATCTACTCCCGCAATTACTCAACTTTATTATAAAAAAACTTATGGAAGTCTCTCTCTCATCGTCTGACTTTGCAGGGATTGGTCTTATCACAGGAGAATCATTAGTAAACCTGGGGTATGCAGGTTGCATCGACCTGTTAAGGGAGGACGCTGATAAGATGCAGTCTTTTGCCTTCAAAGCATATGCCCTGTCATGGCATTCCCATGACAGTAACGCAGAAATCAGGGATAGAGTTTTACAGAGCCGAGGAAAGTCAGTCGACAAGGCTGTGAACATTCATCGCCTGAAGTGGCTGGAACATGATACGCATATTTTCACTGTCTGCCGTGGTGCACAATTTTGGCCGAATTAAGTTTAAGCTGTCAAAAGGGTTACATGTGATGAGACTGAAACATGGCATCAACCTTTTTAACTTGTTTCATGTCTTCGGCATGCGACAGTTAATTTTCAGTAGATGGTTTCCATTCAGTCCCACTGAAAATGACTCCAGCGTATATTACCTGAATGCACTGCTTCATCATGAGACCAAGAATGGTATAGTCAATACAAGGATAAGTTGGATTTTATTTCCCAGATGAAAATAATAAAACCAAATAAATGCAAATTGTATTTCCATCTAAGAAGTCTGGTAGCTACAACAGGTAACTTGCAGAAGTATCAGAAAATACTTGGCTTTTCGACAGTAAATACGTTTCTTATAAAGTACCACCGAAAGCAATGTGAAATTAAGTAAATAAACGCATGGGATAGACCATGACCACAATTTTGTTTTGATTGGCAACCTAACATTTTCTTAACATCTACCTCATCTTTCCTATTCTATCGATAGAAGAATCTTTAGGCAGATGCCTTCATTCCAATAATACTTAGGCAGGATAACTGTATTTCCACCTATATACAACCTTATCTGCAGAACTGATATCAGAAATATGATGCCTTTCAATTATTCATACAGCTTTGAACCAACTAACCCCTTTTAAAAACTACAATGCAATTAGAGATAGAAACAGTGTCACAGAGACAGATTATAAAACCAACAGACTTTTATCACATAAAAAAAGACTTCAAAACTCTTAATAAGGACGGATTTAGAGTGGTGTTGAAACTTACAAATGCACTTAAATACAAACTTTTTCAGTGAAAGGATCCTATCGCATCTACTAAACAAAACAGTTCAGTCCATTATATTCCATCCAATGGTTATGAGGTCAAATATATGGGTTAAACAAGATGAACGGGGTCAATTAGGTTGGCAAAAACACAGCTAAGTGATAGAATGGTAGACTCTGAAGAAATAAGAAATTTAAACAAGAGTTCAGCTTCAGACTTGATTGCTGTGATGTAACACACAACCAGACAGTAGGATATGATAAAGTGACAATTCTAAAAAAAAATAACTTCAGTAAATGGAGGAAGATTGACAACTGAAGCTCTACTACCAATTATAAGAGAACTGTAAAGGTAGACCGTAAAGGCATATAAATATGATCATAAGAAACAGATTTTGCTCCAAACGTTATAACTAGGTAATAATGTTTCCCAGGGTGAAACATAACAAAAAAAAAACTATAATTGAGACCAAAAATTAAAGTTAATCATTATAGTTTACAGACTCGAGAAATTTCATAAACACAGTATGTATACCTTGGTTGAAGACTCATCTTAGCCTATTTTTTAAGTAATAAAAGTTCCAAAATACATTTCAGTATTATAAGGTAACCTGTTCATAATATACACAAAACATTTGTTGTATACAGGCCTAATCTTCATTAATTTTACCGCACTTAAAGATCAATTTGTTAGTGTTCTGTGCTAAATATATCACTTTATGCTTAAAGTATGTGCATCTTCAATGCCAAAAGTTAAGGTACAAGATAAACAAAGAAAGGAGGTAATAAATCCAGAAGAAAAAAAAAACAACTGAAAGCCGATATATGATAATCTTCTATTATCGTGTTATTTAGCTACTGAAGCAGGTAAGGAAGACATCGTTACAGATACAACCGAAATAAGTTTGAAGGTATTCTGACTAACAATGAGACTGGATGCTTTGAGATATTCTAATATGATCAATCAATAATATAGAATACGGCGTTAAACACATGATGTCTTCTATTGAGCTAGAAGGATTCAGAAGATCTAAATAAACTAGTTCGACGGTTTATTTGGTTTTCTGATACACTTTAAGAAATAGTATAAGAAAAAAATCAATTATCTTAACATGTTGTCAACTGTAAGCAGTGCAGAGTAATGAAAGTAAAAAAAAAAAAACAAGAAGCCATTCAAGTTTTCATTACACCACCACGCAAATGAAAAAAAATTCAGAAAGCAATATGAATAAAATATATATGAGTGAGGAATAAGTACATTCGTACAATTGCGATAAGAAGTGAGCTTTGATGTCAAATACTTCCACTTAACACTGATTAGGGAGGTCTCATGAACAGCGAAGAGCAATAGTATAACTGCGTGGATTGGTGCTATGATTCAGTTTTAATATTTCTCACTTATACCCAAAATAATCTTATTTCAGCTGATATCACGAGAATCTTGTACCATAAGAACTAGATGTGATACACGAAAGAATGGAGGCATGAGTTAACTGACCTAACGTTCTTGCACAGAATACTCTGTTCCACAACAAAAGTGATTACTGAGGGATTATATCTTACAGAGAAAAAACTATTTGACGACAATTATGATTATGTATGGTTATGTATTATGGCTGCCATATGAGATAGTTTAACCATGTCCCATTGGTTTAGGGAGTTGACTTTCATCTAACGGGTCAGAAGTTGAAACACCGCTCCACTAGTAGAGATTTGAGCAACCAAGTAGTAGAATCGGTCGTCACACACTAGGTATGGCTCATTCCCCCACTGCATGAATGTGTACAGGGTTGCCGAGTCACTGAATAATAAAATCAACGTAGAACCTCGGACACAAGTACATCGGCTCAAGTTGCCACACTTAACAGTACTACACAAAAACAGGTGGATAGAAAAGAAGTGATATCAAAGCAGATACAGCAGTGTCATAGGACAAACAACCCGAAGATAATCGTTAGTGCAAATATTCAAGCTTTAGAAAACGTCAAAGAGTGAATAGATCTGCGCCACTGTCACTGATTTTCAACTACCGATTCCTTTCGTTTCGGCAACTCCAACCAGACAGTCTACATCTTCACACACGGCTCAGACCAACAATCAGCGACTTCATAGACTGGTATCATGGTCTAGCCACCCTGAATCCTCTTCCAACCTGATACAACTTTTCCTAGCATGACACGCCGAGGTAGTCGTGGCTCGGCTTGCGCAAGTACATGCCCAAGCCATGTACTTGATTATTGTTCACAGCCTTATCTTGTCGTGCCTAGCATTACTCACATGTTGATTCAACGAAACGCAACCAGTGTTACGAAGAAATCTGTGGTCAAAACTCTATAATCGCTACAATTCTTAACGTCCATATCTTACAGCCGTACAACAGAGCAGAACTGATTGCAATGCAGTATACTCGTCCTTTGATAGATAGTCGGATTTCTAGCCAGCTGGCGGAAGTTGGCAAATGTCAAACGGCCTTCTGTATCCAATCTGAAATTTCGTCAGCAACCAGCCTGTTCGAACTGATACAACTCCCAAAGCAGTAAGTGAAGTGTACGACACATTTCACCACCTCATTCCTTATCATTAAAGTGGGGGTACTTACAGAAGACCAGTTCGCAGCCATGATCTTACATTTCACAGGTAGGACACAAGGTGCATATGACAGGCAAACAGATTTCTCCTCAACGTGTTCAGAAGACCCTGCATTTTGTCAGCGTCTTAAACTAGCAGACAAATATCGCCTGCATATTCCCAGTCAACTAGATGACCTACAAGTAGTAGGTCAATCTGTGTGGTCACATGTACCTAAGGTTATGTCCGTTAGTACGCCAATAACGAACTTAAATATGAATGGTGACAGTAGACATCCCTGGCAAATACCATTAGTTATCGTCAACTCACATGACAACTCTCCACAAGCACTGATTCAGCTGCTTGAGTTCGGGTGCATTTAGATCAGTAGGTCGACTATGAGACAAAAAGAATCCTTATGTAATACAAATGACCTGAAATAAACGATTAAATATCTCGATGACAGGTATGTCATGATTGATGAATTCACCAGAAGCAGGATATATGTATAGATATCTCACCTCAGGACAATTATCTTCTTTTGTACTGCATTCTTCAGCTGCATCTATTTGACGTCGTCGTGCCTGTATACGACGTTGAATTTCTGCTATCATCGATGACTTTTGATCAGTAGAATCTCTTCTCAATTGCTGTATAGAATCAGTACGTTTAATTGTATTCACCTCGCCACCGGTTACATTTGTCTGAGCAACAGACAGAAGAGGTGGAGGTGGCGGAGGATGCGGTTTTATAGTTGATACCTGAAGAGAAGATCAAAAAACCGGAATAAATAATCGACTAAATTCGATGGCTTGGGAAACGAAACCAACGGAATTAATAACGTAAAGTGCTAATGATATTTCAATATCCTAGGTTCTGAAACACTTTATAAAGGTCAAGAATACTATTCGACTTCCTAAATTAAAGTTGGCAGACTAAACCTCAAATGTGTAACACAATACCTTAGTCCTTGCATTCACAGAGCAGTAGCGACTGTAAACCTCAAGTACTTTTGGTAATCTAAATTCAGCTTCCGAAATGATACAGATTTATGCATTAGGATATGAAGTAAATTACATGTACCTAAGCTGAAGATAATATCCAAAACTTTAGGTTCAATTAATTAGGTGCAGAGTATTTTAAAACAGTTACTCAGTAATTAAGCATTTAAAGTTTAGATTAATGAACTACAACATCGCTCTTTTATACAGTATAATTCCTCGACAAGAACAAAAAACGTACTGTCTGAAACAAAATAAATTCTTGATCACTCCACATAGTATCATATATAAAAGTACTAATGGACATAACCTTAGGTACCTCTGAATTCATAGATTGGTCTACTCCCTGTAAGTTATCTGGTTGACTTGAAGTAAGCAGACATTATTGTCCTGTTAGGTGAAGACAATGACAAAATGCAGGGTCTTCTGAACAATTTGACCGGAAATTCGTGTTTATTGGGTTGGCGTTTGCTTTGCACCTGTCAAATGTAAGATGATGGCTCCAGGACTAGTCTGTTGTAAATACCCCCACTTTAATGATAAGGAATGAGGCAGTGTATCAGCTCGAACAGGCTGGTTGCTGACGAAATCTCAGATTGGATACAGAAGGCCGTTTGGCATTTGTCAACTTGTGTCATTTATGATGCTCACATGAGACATCCGACTACCCAATAAAGGAAGGGTACATTTCACTGCAGTTCCTTATTTACTGCTATACGGCTGTGAAAAATAGCTATTGAAAGTACAAGATATGGAGGTTTTTGACTATAAGTGTCTTCATAGCATTGCTCAAGTTTGGCAGAATCACCACGTGAGCAATATAGAGGTCAGGAGAAGGGTACTAGGTAAGTCAGACAAATCGATTGATGAGGTTGTGAACCTTAGTCAACCGATAGTTTGGATATGTACTGAGCCTGCCAAACGAGCCACCACCCACATTGATGTGCCATGTTAGAGGAAGTTGGACTAGGTTGGGAGAAGGCTCAGGGTGGCCGGATCAACACGTGGCACCAACTCATGAAGTCTGTGAATCCTGGTCTGAGCTGAGTAGGGAGGTGTAGACTGCCTGGCTGTGGTCCCCGGGACGATAGGAATCAGTGGTTGGTGACTCTTTACGAAGTGGATGGAATTCGATAACAACAGTGCAGATGCATACACTCTTTACTTTCTTCCAAAGCTTGAATAGCTTGACTGACCTTAATTTTTAAACTTCCTCTTCTCCCATACACCACTGTCTACTCTGATATCAGTCTTTTTCTATTCACTTGTTCGTTGTATGCTACTGTGAAGTGCGGCACCTTGAACCGATGCATTTGTGTGCGAGGTTCTATCTCTTTATCAGTTAACATTGTAACCCAGTCTGCGTTTAAACAACTCAACTGAAAATCATTATATATAAACAGACTGTTTTTCAGAGTTATACCAGACAAATTAAGTCCTAAATATTATTAAGCGAACTAATTATGAGAAGAAATCACTACGGATTTCATTTTGTACACATAAATCAGGTGTTATATACATGAATGTGCTGAGAGGGAAGCTTTGGATCAAGGATACGTGCTTCTTAGTTATTGTAGGGTTTGAAAAATAGGGTAGCAGAATTTTCATCTAAGTTATTCAAACACACAAAATCTTAAAAATTACAATGGAATAGGCCACAGTGAATACCCTGATTGACAAACTTCAGTTAGCACTTGGAGAAATAGCGTCGCATTCGTTACTATTTGGCAAGTTCTACACAAAATACTATGTATATTAGAAATCCAGTGTTAGTAAAGAACACTAATAAATTAGAAGTTTGTCTAATTGAGTATGCTAAAGATTGGTTAACAACTGATAGCAGCGTAAAATCGCTAAACAGTAAACGATGACTGAATGATGGAGAATACAATAAAGAGACGGTCGAAGCGACGTCTCAATAAAGTAATATATTCGTAAAACTGTATCACTGTGCATTTCAAAGTGATGACGTCCGGCGAAGCGAAGAGAAAAAAAGCATGATATTTTAGATACCTACCTGATTATTGATAGAAGCTGAAGTATTCACATCGGTAGAATTGTATCGATTTCCTTTGTTACGTAAACGTGCAGCAATAGCTTCTTGAAGCATAGCAGCTAATCCTGAAGACTCGGACTGTTTGATCAGTTCATCTTCATTGGTTGTAGAAAATGAACAAACCAAAGTTGATGGTGAACCTGGATTGCTTGTACTAACAGAGTTAATAGGTGATTGATTGTCACATTCACGAGGAACTGCCAAAAAAAGAAAAACATTTCCCAAGGCAGTAAGCAACTGATTTTAAATTTTAAGTTAATCAGCAATAGACTTAATCCAAGTGTTTTAAGATGACATTACTTAAACATGGTGGCCTCCTGTGTGTTTAAACAGCCTCCTTCGGACTCGACAATTCATAACATGGTTTTTCTATTAGATTGTCGCAAACATTGAGTAATATAAATGATAAAGTGTTGTCAGAGATCCTCATCTCGAAAAGGCCAGGTTTCAAATGTGCACAGGAGAACTGTACACAATGAGGTGTCATGAACTCTATAACTTACAACCAGACTAAAGTTACAATGGTATTAAAGATGACTAAGACTGAGGTAAGCCATAGTGGCGTTTGATGTAGGGTTTAAAACCAAATTCACTACATCCGTATCAGCGTACACACAACTGCTGGGATAAACGAAGTTTTCAACAACTTTCAAAGATTGAGTAATGAAATGGTCAATGGACATAAGTTTACGTTTGAGTATTGGGAAAAAGGCAGCAATGTGCTTTATTTGTTTAAGCACTAGGCTTTCAAGGAATGGGTCTCGGGTTCAAAAGCTGCGCTTCCTGCTTTGATATGGTAAACAGAGTAGTATCATAAAACCTCACACAATGAATGTGCTTCATAACGAGTACATAAACCCGTACTGGGTTGAATCACATCTTATAGTCGGTAAAGAAGTTTTATATGAACTTAAAGTCCAAAAATTATTCAGCTGGTGACCACATAAAAAGAAACATTTTAAACACCTTAAGAAGAATTTTGTTTGTAAATCATTTATAATAACTATCAATCAGACACTATTTTTATCCAACTAAAAGAGGCCTCCCAGTTGACTATCTTTACTTCTGTATAATAACTCATCCACAGATATGGAGTCAAGTCCATCGACCGTTCAATATGAGCCCTAACGAAAACGGTGGCACTGGATCCATAAAAAGTATGATCATTTAATACATCATCAAAACTGGTCACTCGATCTCAACAGTGTATTCCTTCAAAATCATGTGCGGGATGAAAAGTTACTCGTCAAAAGCAATGAGTGTTCATTATCTTTACAATGATTTGCTCAATCTTTTCTGAATCATTAACGTTTAAAGAAATCTCCTTCTATCCTTCCTCCTTCCATTCTGTCAAATACTGAAAGAATATTAATGCTTCCTTTATTTTATGTCATTTTAGTAAGTCTATCCTCACGTATTATGTTTGTTATGTTAGGCAACTAGTTATCCACAAGTGATTCTCTTCACCGCATTTCGATTAAACTTTGATTATTAGTCATTATTCTTTTCAATCTTAATAATTCGGACTTATTAAGAGTAGTTTGTTATCATTTCTAATCAAAAAAAATTATTGTCAGTATTTAACTGACTGAACAAAAAATGTAATCGTATACAATTATAACTGTGCAGTTTTAAGAAATAAATTCCCGTTAACCACTTCATTCTTTTTCCAGTTTCTCTGAAAGCACTGAATTGTAAGTTAGTTCATAAATATTCCAAAAAGCAGTAAAAACTGACAATCCAAAAACCTTAGGAGAGTCGATAATCATGTAGTACATGCAACAACACGTTATCAACCTCCACATCTTGAACATTCTGTCATTGTATACCGTATTGGTGTCTGTTATCTAGCTCATTCGAATAAGTTATTAGTCCTTTTCTAATGAATTTCCCTATGTTCCAGTTATCTGAAATATGATAAATGAATTAAATACTATATAAACAATATATATAGGCTCCAAGCTACTTAATCTAATGTAATAAGTTGGTTGATTGTTTCAAACTTACGAACGGATGCAGCCATTCGACAAAAGGTAGCGCACAACCAGCGTTTATTACTTGTTTGCACTTATCACAGCAAGACATATTCGTAACCTCAGGAGATTAGATACATTAGTTTTCCTGCTGGGTGAAGACGCTGACAAAGTGCAAGGTCTTCTGAACACGTTGAACAAAAATCTGAGTATGTTTGGCTTGCATTCGTCTCGCACCTGTCAAATGTAAGATGATGCTCCAGGACTGGTCTATTATAAGTACCCCACTTTATTGATAAGGAATGAAGTGGTGAAATGTATCGACCGCTTCAATTTCCACTTCGGGAGTTGCATCAACTCAAACGGGCTCGTTGATAATGAAATCTCGGATCGGATACGTTACAGTTCATTCTGTCCTTCTATACGACTATGAGATGTGAACGTTAAGAGTGGAAGAAAGAAAGTGATTACAGGGTTTCGATCACAGATTTCTTTGTAACATTGTTCGCGTTTTCAGTGGAATCATCTTGTGAACAATGTTCAGGTCAAGTGAAGGGTACTAGGCAAAACAGGCAAATCGATTGACAAGGTCCTGAACCTTTATCGGCTGAGATGGCTTGAACTTGTACTGCGCGAGCGAAGCCATCGCCTAACTTGACGTGTCATGTGTTCACGGAGGCCAGACTATGACCTGACTCCAGTCGATAACTGTTAGTTTGAGCTGTGTGTGAAGATGTAGACTATCTGGCTGGAGCCTCCGAGACGAAATAAATCAGAAATCGAGAACTGAATCTTGGTGACATGGCTGTGTCCTAGATGCATTCACTCTTTGACGTCTTCTGAAGCTCGAATATTTACACTAACCTTCGTCTTCAGATTGTTTATCCTATGACACTGCTGTATCTGCTTCGATATCACTTCTTTTCTATCCTCTTGTTTTTGTGTAGTACTGTTAAGTGTGGCAGCTTGAACCGATGCACCTGTATGCAAGGTTCTATATCGATTTCTTGAAACAGTTGATGATTATATTGTGATCAACAAATTGGCAACTTAAATACGGTAATTTACGTTCTGATTTCTACTAACCAGCTAACATCCATCAAAGTGTACCAAAATGGTAAATCTTCCTGCTTGGTGAGCAAAAGCTGTTAACTTTCATCAATGGAATTAAGTTGCAACACAGAACTAGATAATAAAACACTGATAACTCTCTGCTGTGGCCAACGAACCATTTCGTTTCATCACTAATATGAGAACACTAAACTTATGAAATCTCCATACATTTTTGACGAAAAGAGTCGATAGAATAAGAATGTCATACAACAACCTGATTTAAAAAAAGTAATTCGAACAAAATGGGAGGCTTGAATTTTTAACACTGTTAAATTCATAGTTTCACAAAAACCTTTGGAAAAATGCAGGAAACTAACCTTGAGAATTCAAACCTAACCAGTTGGAAGAATCATTCCCTTGGGACGGATTTTTTGTACTTGCACTTCCCAAACGATTCACAGTCCCTATATACCCACCACCGCTAGCAGTAGGAACAACAACACCATTCCCAACACTGCTACCACTGCTACTACTTGCATAACTAGCCAAACTGCCTGAACCTGCATAACCATAACCATAACCGTAGCTGGCAGATGATGAAGCAGAAGAAGGAGCTGCTGTTGTCCCAGGACCTGTAGCATAACCCAAACTACTTGATGATGCAGAAGACAATTGACGACGATGTGTTTGAAATGCGTCAATATCTTTAGCAGTAGCAGTATTAATAGTTACTACATTCGGATTTGAAGTTAAAGACATTGAGAAAACTTGATTCCTTTGATTAACTTGGTGAACAGGTTCTTGGTATAGGTAATTAGCCATTTCATTTGGTTCAGGTTCTTTTCTAATGAAAAATGTAAACGTGAAATGTCCGCAGAGAACCAGGCACGAATGTACCAGCGAAAACTATCCGCGCATTCACAGAAAAATCATAAAAATTAGGTAAAAATCTGTAAGAAGGAAAATATTTTCCAACTCAGATCCTGGATACTACAGCAGTATGATTCCAGAGCAATTTTAAGAGTTGGTGAATGTAGTTTCTTTTTACATTTGCGAATGTGATGTCTACACATCAAGGGCTTTGTTCATCAATCAATCAGTAATCAAATCGTCCGTTGAACATGTAATCAATTACAATAAAGTGCAGCAATAAGAACATAAAAAGAGATAAAACCTCCAATCATTCCATTTTTTAAAGGTGACATTCATCATGGACTGAAATCAGTTGGAGGAACATTGGGAAGCTGGAAGTACTGGACAGCTGTTTCGTCCTAGTATGGGACTCCTCAGCAGTGCGCGGGCTGATGGATGTGCATACTGAGGAGTCCCACACTAGGACGAAACCGACCTCCATTGCTCCTAGGTTTCCAGTGTTCCTCCGACTGATGTCATTCCATGATGAATACCAACTTGGAACAACCACTAAATCCTCAGAAAACCCCAAATGGAATTCCATTTTTGTTTCAAAAATAGAAACAACACCAAACAATCACTAAGCTGATAAAAAAAATGGTAATGTCATTATGAAAGGACAAAGAATCAAAAAAAGCGTCGTGATGCTTTAGCTTATTGTGCTACCTACATAGAACGAAATGCAAAACGCTTATAGCTTGGTGAGCAGTACCTTCAGTTTTGATTGTCAAATGAAAATAACCCTAAAACAGTATATCACTAGGATTCCCGTTTTGTATGAAACATACTGTTAGAGTGCGTTTGCTATGCATCAAAGAAACTGTTAAACAAAGAAAACCCTGAAGTATAAACTCAGAAATTGTAGCCTCCATAGCCTAGTTGATAAAGAAAACAACTTTAATGTAAGTTGAATGAAACAATCAACCAAGTACACTTGATAGGCATTACAATACTAGTTGGGCAATTGGATGCATAGGTAAAGAGTTTAGACTAGAAGAAAAGTCATTTAAGTGATCAGTACTGACTAGTTTGTCGTAGGTCAAACAATAAGTTTTGTTTTCTGCAGCTTTGCTTAAGTAGAAACCCTCTGTCTAAAATGAATCATATTGTTATCAACTTTGGATAGCATAGGTGTATTCAAAACTTTCTCTCTATCTAAAGGACATAGTAACTCTGAAGATGCTATAGTGCGTGTCAAGTTCATCTCATATTCTGATGGTCAATGAAATTGCCATCGGAGAGCATGTCAATTCAAACTAATTGGTTTTATCTTTTCGAGGACCCTAACCAGGCAATCTACATCTCACTACATGAACATTTGTCACGTCTTGCTTTGACCACCCCAAGACACATAAAATGACGTCTGTCACCAAAAACTCACTGTCCCATAACAGCCGATCCAACTTGAAATGGTCAACGCACTCAATATACTCACTTCCTATTGTCAGAAGAGGTATCAATACATACCAGTCCTTGAGCAACGGTTTGCACACAGGTGATGAAAAACACATTCTAAAAATGTTTATGTCTTCATGCAAAAGGACTTTTTGTCTGTTTTCTTTAAGTCTACTAAGAAACCTCCGGCCAATAAGTCAGTTACCGTGACGTCAGACGAGGATATATATATATATATATATATATATATATATATATATATATATATATATGTTAACAGGTCTGTAGTAAATTAAACAATTCACTTGGTGCCTCACCAAAGGCGATAACACACCAATAGATGTTCGAGTACAGAGTCCTCAATAGGGTGGTGTAAATATTACTAGTAAAAATTAAATATCCGGCATTAAAAATATATATCTTTTTATGTGCAAATACAATGAAATATAATTGAGTCGAATGCAGAGACTGGGATTTGACAGCTTGCAAACATTTCGGCACTGGGTAAATTATGTTTTTAGTATTATTTTGCTATGTATCTCCCAATGAATAGTGTCACCGTTCTTATTTAACCTCAGCATAGACGTACTAATGGACATAACCTTAGGTACATGTGACTTCACACAGATTGACCTACTACTTGTAGGTCATCTAGTTGACTTGGAATATGCAGACGATATCTTCCTGCTAGTTTAAGACGCTGACAAAATGCAGGGTCTTCTGAACACGTTGAGGAGAAATCTGTTTGCCTGTCATGTGTATCTTGTATCCCACCTGTGAAATGTAAGATGATGGCTCCAGGATTAGTCTTCTATAAGTACCCCCACTTTAATGATGCGCAGTGAAATAGTGAATGTGTCGATTAGTACAATTTATGGAGTTGTGTCAGTTCGAACAGGCTGGTTGCGGAGGAAATCGTAGATCGGATACAGACCGTTTGGCATTTGCCAACATGCGTCATCTGTCGCGCTGAATGTGGAGATATCGGACTGTCTATCGGAAGGCGAGTATACTACGCTGAAATCCGTCCTGCTCTGTAGTACGGCTGTGAAGAGTAGAAGAAATGATTACAGGGTTTCGATCACAGATTTCTTTGTAACATTGTTCGCGTTTTCAGGGGAATCATCCTGTGAACAATGTTGAAGTCAAGTGAAGGATACTAGGCAAGACAGGCAAATCGGTTGACAAGGTCCAGCTGAGATGGCTTGAACTTGTACTGCGCGAGCGAAGCCATCGCCTAACTTGACGAAATCTACCAGCCTAAACTTGAACTCTATGTACAGAAGTATTTACAATCTATCCTTGCACCATTAAGTATGATCACATGATTTCCTTAAATTTTAGCTATGACATTTATTCCATTCTCGAGCACGATACCAATCGTGCAACACAATAGATTAATGTTGGAGTTACTTTGTTTGGAGTACCTATGAATACCACCGTTGAACCTAGAAAGAGGAGCAGAAACAGTTTTCTTCGCTGGATTGTTACTTGTTCATAACTTCATTAAAACATAAGACTGATCTTCTTCCAAGTAAGCATATCAATAGTACCTTTTCTATGCTATGAGACTCATCGACTTTGAAAAGGCCTTTGACAGCGTCGACCGACAAGTAATTTGGCAACCAACTGCTTCAACACTACGGAATACCGCGAACCTTTAACAACCTCACTCAACAGCCATATAAAGATGCCACATGCCCAGTAATTCACAATGGGAAGCTCAGTGATGCCTTTGAAGTGAAGAGAGGAGTAAAACAAGGCTGCCTACTGTTACCATGATATTCCTGATTGTATTCGACTGGATCATTTAACAAACTGTGAGCAGCAAGAAGAGAGGGATATGCTGGACCGCAGAAAAAAATCTAGAAGATTTGGATTTCGCCGATGACTTATGTCTAATGTCACACAAATTCGAAGATCTACAGGGAAAAACCTTCAAGTTAACAGAAGAGGCGAGGCAGAGACGACCGGACTTCCTTCAGGTGAACATAGAGAAGACAGAGGTGATGAAGATACCCAGCCAACGCCACCACCACCAACAACAAGCTCCAATCATCATCAACGGGAGAAACTCAAAGGAAGTAGCCTCCTTCAACCACCAACTAGGCAGCATCGTTTCAACTACAGGCAGCACACATGAGGATGTCAAAGTCAGGATCGGTAAAACAAGACAAGCATTCATTTAACTGAAACCAGTGTGGAGATCTTCTGCAATCAGCATAAACACCCGGATTTTCAACACCAACATCAAGTCAGTGCTTCTATATAGTTCAGAGACTCGGCACGTCACGAAAAGCATTTCCAACAAACTACAGACATACATCATCAACAACTGCCCACGCTCGATACTGAAGCTCAGATGATAGGGCAAGAAAGAATAAGCAACAAGGAACTCTGGCTGGCTGGCAACGAACCAACCAAGAACCTATCGCTCAACAAATATCCAGAACAAAGTGGAGATGAGGATGGATTGGGTATCCACTGAGAAGGCGGATTGAGGACATCACACGCCACACCAGACCCTCAAGTGGAATCGAAAGGAGAAACGACGAGTTGGGTATCCGAGGATGACATGGAGGAGATCATGTCACGAAGAATAAAAGCTTGTGGGCAGTCGTAGAGTTAGGTTGAAAAGACTGCGGACGACAGAGTGCAATGGAGACGTGCTACTCAAGCCCTATGTTTCATTAGGAACCCAAAGGACGATTAATAATAATAAGATATGCTATGAGACACATGGCGAGCACTAACTATTCCTTCGCTCCCGTCCTCCTTGTACAGTTAGGGTTGAATCAATAATTATACAGCCAATCATTATCTATAAGAACACACAGGCGCACATACGGAAATGAAGGAAAAGATGATACTAGTAAAGTTGATACTGGGTGATGACTGAAGGCAAATTGAAAATTTAAACCGCGGTCGGATTCGAACCAGCGACCACCAGGTTCCCGGCCCGGCGTTCTACCAACTGAACTACTGGGCGAGACTACTGACCAGATTTTTGTTTCATCTCAATCACCAAGGGTTTTGCCCGACTACCATGTGAGTTCGTGACGCGTTACTACCGCTTGATCGTACTCACAATAGCTGCCCAGTTAGGAATTCTCATCCCATACCGGGCCGAAAACCTGGTGGATCGTTGGTTTAAATCCGGTCGTGGCCCAAATTCCCATGTCACCTTCAATCTTCACACAGCATCAATATTTGTCTGCTAAATCACGATTATCTGAAATAGTCAAAATGAAAATCTAATAAAGTTATCCCTTCGATTTTTCAAAGACTACACACAAAGGAAATTAGCATACAGATTGATGCGATGTGTTAAGTAATATATTATTTATATGAAAAAATAGGCAGTATATTTTCAGAACACTATTTATTCTGAACAGACAAAAAGGAATATCAATCTAAACAAATCAAATTAGAAAATGGTAACGCCTAAAGCGACAAGAGGATACAACAAGCAAACTTAACAATAACAGAAATAGTTATACGGATGGCCAGTAATAAACACATGAACAAATGACTAGA